TTAATTCACTTACTTGGCAAGAATGAATAAATTATCTTAATAAAAGTGAAAATTATAGCACATTTAACTCATAATCAGATTTCAGCCATGATTGGAAGATCAATAAGGTAAATAAATTGCAGATACCCTTGAAATGACACAAATACTAATCTAATTATTTAAATCTCTTAATATAGCCTTGCGGAAATCCGGATATCGGTACCAAACATTTAAAAAACCATAATTCCTCCAAGTCATAACTAAAATATCTTTCCACTTTTTTATCACTAAAATTAGAGACAGGTAGGGAACCGAGTAGTGAGTTCATGTTATTTTAAGGGCGTCGTTTATGCCCTTCTGCTACTCTGACTTATTGTCGAATTTATATGTATGAGGGAGGTAATTATCAAAGACCACATAAAGACAAATAGGGATCGACCTACGAAAGTAACCCCTAAGCATAAGCCAATGAGGTATAACCATTTCCACAGAAACCAGAAGCAATATCAGGTCTCCTAAGAGATGTATCCAAATTAATATAGTTAGATGCGGCTAAATTTGACCATATGTCAGAGAGGTAACGTTCTTGATCTCCGCCAGTAATAATGTTAGCCCCAAGCAATGACCAGAACGAGCAATTAGGATAGTCCATTTTAAACTTCTAAAGGTAGGTACCAACATAAAAGGATAAAATGACATATTTATTACGAAATATCACATCGATAGGTACGAAAGTTGTGGTCAGAGATTGGAATATTACCTACGGAGAATGCTTGATCGAGTTCCCAAATGTTGGGAGTAAGTGTGAACTCAAACCCATAGAAGTCTAAATTATTGTTTACCTGGCTTTCAAGAAACGTCAAATTGACGTCATGTCTAATTGCATTTTTACTTAATGAAAATTTTTCGTTACATCGTGATGTAGCATTTCAAGGTTCCAGTCATGGAATTTATTTCTACAGGATTACAGGAACAGTGGCTATTTTTACTCTACTACTTTAAATAATAACAAGGTTTTAAAAATAACCCCTTATTCGACAACTAAAGAATTAGAAAATACAGGATTTGGAAAAAAACACACGATGAAATTTGATAGAAAATTAATTGGTGCTCAATCATGAGGGACTTTAATTTCCGAAATTTGGCTGGAGAAATTGCACTTTTCTTCTTCGGTCTAACTACAAAGCTCTACAGCAGCGTCGGACCGAGATGAATTCACATGGCTCATTCAAACGTTTTTTTAATATCTCTCAAATCTCTATTTCCTTTAGCGTGATAATAGTATTAATTAATAATTAAACTATTGTGTTGGGAATATATTAATTAATAACGCTGATTAGAGGAAAAGTGCTTCTTAATTTTAACGCCATAGATGAACATTGTTATAATTTAGGCCATATGACCCCCCTTAAAGGGTCAATTTGATCGACAATCATTCGAGAATAAGGACAAGAGTTTGGTTAGCAATCCACGTGTAACTCAACTGACCTTCAATTTCAATATCCTCCTTGCATACATCATGTAAATTTATTTACCTGATTTCACTTTGCATTTCCTTGATAGAAGAATGTAACACCTTCTCTACCGTTTTGGGTCAAAATTATAAATGCTAACTTAAGCCGGCTGAAACCTTCAAGTTCCATAAACGGGTGCCTTCAAGACACCTTACACACAACGGGTTTGTTTTACTTTGAAAGGAAAAATAAATCGTTTAAAAAATTCCCTCAACCCCCCCCCCCCCAACTTATTGGTTCTTCTCGTAAAACAGGCACAGGAGCTCATATGAGTCTGGCTGTCTGTTAATTAGTACTCTCAGCAAATTGGCCAGGCGCCTGAACATGAAAACTTTTGCGTGAGAGTTATTACCTTCTTTACTATTGACTGCATTTACTATTACTGTTGCTTTACGTAGACATCTCCCCTCCTAGTCGACGGAGGTAATATTTAGACGACTGGTGAGATAAAAAGTAGTTTGGGAAACCTTGAGATGAAAGACAATTATAGAAATAGAAGTGGGAGGTTTATTGAAACATACTCCCCACGAACAAACTAACAACAAACTACATACACCAGACAAATGGAGTGCTCCTCTTAGTGCTTTGAAATAAATCTTTAATTTAGCTAAACTTCCCTGCCTTAACATTTTTAGCATTGCTTTTTTGGACATTATAGAAACCCTTAAAAAAAGCTAATTATGACAATGAATAAACTACATTTAAAAAATAGTAACAGTTAAAGACGACCTAACCAAATGAGGAAATCGATAAAATTATGAAAGATAATAAAATTATATTCTAAATGAAGAGACAATTAAGCAATGAGGGTTCAAATGAATCTTCCCATTATCATAACTGTTGACAATATTTTAATAAAGGACTTTAAATGAATTTCCTATAAATACTAAGTAAACAATTTAATTAAAGAGTCTTTCAGTTACTCTTGAAAGATATTGTTTCATGCACAGATTTTACAAGTTTTAAGCAAGAGATGACATCATGAAATTCAAGGTTGCTATGATGACTTCCGAGGTATAGTCTACTGTTTCACTTTCCAGTGTTCTAATATCTCATTTCTTACATTTAATACTGTTTAAGGCACCCAGAGGCATCTGAAAGTTTGCAAAAGGGCGGTTGACAAACACCCTTTGGCATTTATTTCTTTCTAAATATCTTTCATCTGCTGCATCATCCAAGTATTTTAAATTATAGAAACTTCCCTTCTCTGATTTTTAAGAAGGTTTGAATAATTAGGAAAGTGTAAAATTCATTGTATATTTTGACAATTTTCTTTCTAGCAGCAATTTTGGAAGTTAAACTGCCCAAATTAAGCAGAACCTACCTTATTCTATTTCAAATAAGTGTAGCTCTTAACATCATACTTAGCTCTTGGCAACGAGGAAAAAGTCATTCATTTCAAATAGCAGGCGTTTTGATAGTTATCATTGGCCCTTTAGCTGACTTCGGGCTTCACAGAGAGGAGGAGGAACATCAAAGTGACAAAAAGTCGAGAAGCGGGGCAGAATAATGAGTCACGGACGTAAAAGAGACAGACAGACACAAAGGTAGAAAAAAGGTGGGGTGAGTACTGTGGTAGATGTCGAATATGACATACAATGGGGTCATGGTAGTTTGAAGTTAGAAGTCAACTGCCAGTTAATAGACTTTTTTGTTGTATGAGTATACGTTGCCCAGGGTGCACCACGTGAAGGTAAGTCTATCCCACACCCCACAAGGAAAATGTTAATAAGAATTAGTTGACTAAACATCTGAATTAAAAATCTAATCCACAATCATGAAATTATTCAGAAAACAGGGTTAAAATCTTAAGTGGTAAACTTAGGAACATTAAAATACGAAACAGGAGAAAATATTCCAAAATAGACATTAATCAGGAAAAATCAATTCAATTTAACATTTCACTCGTCTCTTTCAATGTCATGGTTCGCCTTTCAGGCTTCCCTCCACCCTCTCTAAACTCCCCATTCTATCGTCCTACCGTTCCACGTGTTCAGATTCCTTTTCATAATAGAAATTGCAGATCGATACTATGGTAATGACACATTATTGACATTAAAGAGTTATCCAATCCATATTCAGACTGCATTTTGTTCGAATAACTTGTCATTGTCAACTGGATAAAGTTGAATTGATTGTGTGCAAGTAAAAAGGTGATCTTGAATTTGTAGATAAAGGGAATTGCTTTCTCGAGGCGATAGTTAATTTTGGTCGATTAATGCCGATCGCGATAAGCAATTATAATTGGATGAAAAAGCATGAAAGGAAAATGGAAAAGAATATTAAAAAAATATGCACAGTGCCTTGATTTACCCGCTTTCCGTAGTATATATTATAATTCTGAGGTAGCTAGTTTGGTTACGTATTTGTGTATAATGCAATTTTTTATTAGTTACTTAATATGTTCATTCACTTTGATCAAGACGGGAATTGGATATGGGAATGCGAAAGCTATAAATAAAAATTGCTGGCGAAAGTGGATGACAAATCGGTCTTTAAATCAAAGTCTTTCAAATGTACCAAATTACCATTGGTGTCTTTTGCGGAGTAATATATATTTGAGAGTAAAATTGTACCTGCTTCCAGAGTTACAGATAACAGAATTCATAAATCATCTCAAATTTGCACAAAGAATATGCACTAATTTGATTATCGACTGACTAGGTGTTTGAAATTTACTGAATTGGTAACAGTCACCACACGAGACGAACACTTGATTAATGAAATCTTAAAAGAAGCAGACATTCCCATGCTCTTTCAGGAACATAGAATTTGAATTCGAATAGCTGAAATTCCGCGTATTCAAACATAAATTAGTGCACAATACATACCACATATGAGTGTAGTGGAAACGTTCGTACTTTTTACCTTCGATTACATTTTATAGACGCTCTTTGATCGGTTGAGCGCTTTTTATTCATTAAACGGCAATTATTCATTTAGCATTGGGTTATTTCGTGGCATAGACCAACAAAGAGACACGGCCCTTTTCTCTTTCATCCATTTCAATGAAAGGAAAAAAAGAATATTTCTACATTGGGTCGAAATGCGAAAGGTCATTCTTGCAAATAATAGAATGACCACTCTTATATTGACCACAAACCTGTTGCAACAGTTTATTTCCTTATATTCTGCACATATTTATTGCTCGATGGATTTTTACGAGGTTAAAGAAAATGCAGAATAATTAACTCCTAGTACATTAGGAGGGGTGAGAACATGTCTGATGTTTAAAGCTTTACTTTGTGCCAATTGGAGAAAGTGGTCTACAATGAGGGCGGAAGTGGGATAGATGAGGAGGATAGGAGTATAAATTTTCCCTGATATTGTCACTCCAATCTCATTAATCCCTCTGACGACCCGCCTCAATCTCGCCATCTCATTGGACAGAGTGTTGACGAATCGGCTTCGAGATGATTTGGTGACTATATGTCCTCTTGTATCAGCGTGTACTTATTCATCAGCCTTTCTACACTCACTTACTCATACTAACTGACGGATTATACCATGGTAAGTAGTGAATATTCTACTCAAATTAATTTGAGACCAAAAGAGCTTAGAATAGATCTATTTCACACCTATCTTATCAATATTCCGTAGCTTCATTGTGCCCCAAAGTTTGCTTTTGCTTAATACAATTATTCTAGAATAAATACCTGAATGACCAATTGAGCTCCTTTCAATTTAAGTCTAAGAATAATTTATATCTCTCTTTTATCTCTAAATTCTCTTATTTTGCCAACAATTAGCAATTTGCAAACCATTTATGGCAAACTAATTGATCTCATTTATTCATATTTAACACATATTTATTTTCCGTGGAAACTCTGATTGTGAAAATGATTTGGCATAATGAATGAGTATAGTTCATCTGCTTTTACATTACATAAGACACAAACGAGATTATCAGAATACAAGATGGGCATCTTCATTTTGATGATCGTTTTGATGACATTCGTATCGGCGAATAGTGAATCCAAGGACGAAAACTCCAGCATAGACGATTTTGAATTGCCTAAGGAACGAAAGCCTCTATTCCGCACTGCTCGAGAATTACGACGCTATCTTGAGCAACTTGATGAATGGCTAGCAATTACCGGAAGGCCTAGGTGAGAAACCCGCTATTGACCCAAAATCTATTTCTATTCATTTAGTATATATTATAGTAATTAGTAATTATATATGATTAATATTATATATATATATATATAAAGTTATATGAATGTATTTGTTTGATATTGCTTAAATTGCATGTTATGGTCACTGAAGTTTAACTTAATACTGTCTTTTATTTTGGACTTTGTTAATTAAAACAAAAATTCAATGGACGTGAATCGAGTGGCACAGATTTCAATATTTTTGCATAATTTTGATGACTTGCCAAAATTATTTGTCGTTGCATCTTGTATTTTTTTAATGAATAAATGGAGATTATTTTGCATTTTAGGTTTGGATGAAATTAAAGGACAGTCTACTTGGAGTAACGTAATTAAGTATGAAGCATAAAAATAAAGGTGATGGATGTCACTCTCTTTGTTTGTGCTACTCCCAACCAAATTGTGAATTATTGAAAAGTCAGTTTCCCTCTGGATGCGCTTTATTATACTTATTGGGATAAAGGCTTTTTCTTTTCAATCAATATCTGTTTTAACTACCTAATCTATTCATTACCTTTGATATAATCAGATTATTACTTTCTGGTGTTATCTTCAAAGTCAGCCTTTGTCATTTAAGCTCTATATTAGTAGCGTTGGCATTGGCATAGGTGGTGGTGGTGGTACGGGGGGGGGATGTTAAGAGTGACAGTATGAGAAAGTAAAGAATATGCGAAATAGCAGTTAATTAAGGTGACTTGGTATGTATAGGGGCTGTAATTGCAATCTATTACCGATTCTATGGACGTGCACTTAAATATTAGTATTTTAGCTATTACCATCCTGTTTGAAGTAAAACTTGCCTGACTTACACTGATGGAATTGTTATCACCTCTAGTCCAAAGCAAGTAGTCAGACAGGCGCATGTGAACTCAATGAAATTTAAAAGGGCGAATGAATGCCAGCTCTAGCCGCTAACGTCAATTACTCATCGCTATTTCGTCCATTTGCCATGGGTGAAGGCTCCGATGGAATAATCCTCAGATAATTAAAACAATTAAGAAGTAGCACTATCCAAAGAATTTAATTCTTTAAGGAAACTTGGATTGCAGTGCTGAAATACTCAGTTTACTTTTCGCATGCCTTCAAAGGGCAAATAGCTCCATCAAAATCTTGCTCTTGATGAGGCCTTCAATTCAAACAGACTGCATACTTGGCTATATAGTTAATTTGTTGGAAAAAAGCGGACAAAATAGAATTGTTGAGAACTTTGCGGAGCTGATTCAGTATTTTCGCTTTTCCTAAAGAAGCCTAGACGAGGCTAAATACTATGAGGGCTAAATCAGTGGATTCATTCTGAAAATTCCACAGGTATGCTTCCATGAGGAGAATAGATCCTTTCGTTTACTCCCAATTGTCTACTCACTGGTCTCGCAGTAAAGCTTCTTTTGAGTCCGCAGATTTCAGGGAGCCTAAAGTAAAGGCTTATACAATGTCATGCCTAAGGCAAATTGATCCTAAGACATTGTTTGGTTTATCCAGACTTTGGATGGCTAATAGCGTCAGCTCCTGTCACCACTTGAGGGTAAGTTGACCGAAGCTGGCATAAGTGGTAGAATTTTACTCTTCCCACGTGTTATCGGCAGAACCATTTTTCCCTTTCATCGGCAATTAACAAGGACTTAACGTGTTCAATCTAATTGTAATGAATAAACACGTTGGATATTACAATTTCTATTTATATCTATATAAATGCCAACCTTATTGTTGGTAGTGTTTTCCGTGAGAGTGGATATGGAGAAATTTTACTCATCATGATGCATTACTTATTTGGAGAAGTTCCGTACGAATTTCCGGATAGATAAAAAATTTTAAACATTTTCATTTTAGCCAATAAGATCTACTTTTTTGTCCAAGTTGAAACTTAGCGATTGGTTTTAGTGTTGGTGAGATAGCCAATACATTTAAGGATCGACGTAAGACAATGTTTGATTTAAACAAAAGTCTACACTCCCTAAATTTCATATCAAGTCACCTGTAAATAACTGCCCGTGGTCGTTCAACGCCCTCACATGACGCTCATGGCTTTCACCTAGACCTCGGGCCATAATCATAAGGTCCTCTTTTGCACTTTTGTAACTGTGAAAATAATAGCCTCCAAATGAGCTGAAGTCACGACATACAACCATAGGTTTGAGGATATAATTTAAACAATATTGGCTTGCAAAGGTGACTGAAGGTAAATGAATCCAGTCATTTGCGCCGGGTCTATTTCTTCATATGCATTCCTCCACAAACACAGTGAAAGTATTTTAAATGTAAGCTTAAAAATGTGCATTGAAGATGTAGGTAAATTGATGATTACATATTCAAATGAGGCTCATTGACGATTTCAAATAGCTCATGAATCTTTCGTAAGAAGTAGACGGCTGGGATGTCTTCTTTACAAATCCTAAGATACTTAACTAATTATTCATAATACTAACAACCTTTACCCCACAATAAGACAGAGAGGAGGCAAGAATTTAGTGAGCAGAGCTTATTTGGAGAGAAAAAAAGAATAAGTGAGAAATGACGAGTCCAATTTTGTAGTAGAGGTGAACATATCGTAATGGTCTGCTCCCTAATTTGTGACTTTTGAATGAATATGATATAGCCCCATCATTTACATAGAGACCAGAGTCCTATTCAGTTCCTCTGCAATGCATGAATTGAATTAATCGAAAATCGATATCAATTTTTATTGGAGCGGATGAAGAGAAAAGAAAGGCCACTTGCACATAATTAATATAGGCAAAAAGTGTAGTAACTGAGCTCTCCCTCTTATAGTTTGCATCTTAAACCCTTTTTGAGACGAATTGAGTAGCATTGACCTCTCATTTCTTCGAATGTGTCGATTTGGTCTATCTGAGCAGCTGTAATTGATAGAATATAAAATGAAAGTGTCTTGTACTCCGTTTCAAATCAATTTTCTTCAGAAAGTGTTAATATTCGAAAATATTTCTTTATTTATTTATATCAAATGGCACCCTTTATGATAGTCATCAATAGCCCTTTATTTGAATTCGGTCTTCACAGAGGGAGAGGAACATCAAATTCATAAAGTTTCGATAGAGGAACAGGAGAGTGATTCACAGATGTAAAAGAGACAGACAGAAAAAAGCGGAGAAAAGGTAAAATGAATACTATGGAAGTGATGGAATATGACATACATTGGGGTCATGGTAGTTTGCAGTCAGAAGTCAACTTCCGGTTTATAGACTTTTTGCCGTATGAATATACGTTGCCTAGGGTCCACCACGTGGTGATGAGTCTATCTTACACTCCATATTCTAAAATATTATTAAAAGGAAACATATTCTCTAATTTTATTTGGCATGACCCTTGAACATTGAAGTAATTGTAACCGCAAGATTCAGTTAGAGGAATTGGTCAATTTTCGTTGTCGATAAAGCCTCCATAGTGTATTAAATTTCGTGAAACTCATATCAGTTTGTACCCTCTTTGGGTCTAACATTGTCTAACATTTCGTTGTTACTCATGAGAATTTAATTTTTTAGTCACTTATTTACTGACATTCAAAGACATCATATCAAGCGCCACATACTTTATTTTAGGGGCAGGATGCAAAAAATAAAATGCAACATGAAATATCCTGCGGCAGTTTCAATTGGTCGATAAACACGGCAAGAGATGTCGAGTTATGAAAGCTGAATGGCGTAATAGGAGATAACTGCCCAGTTAACTAATGCCCTCGTGGTAATTTAAACCAGTCATTTTGTCCAGAATTCATACAAAGTGGTGGAATTCTTTAGCATTCCCCTCCACCCGATCTCTTTTTCATTTATTGACCAGTGAATGAAGATTGTCGAATATTTCACCTTAACCATACACGACGGCTTAAGTATAATATGGAAAACATCTATCTAATTATTTTAATTACATCATACTTTCCCTACCATACACACCAAAAAAGTATTTGACNAGCTAATGCCGTTAAGAATCACGAACCGTTGTAACCAAAATGGGTTTATTGTTCATGAATCTCAACATCTAATGGAATTTTCAAGGCAAAAAGCGTCAGATAAAGGCTCTAATTGATCTCAATGGGTTTAAAAATTTCAACGTTGAAAACACAGTTTTCAAATTTCATCAAGAAGAGCTTCACATGAAATTTTTTGTTGCAATTTACAACTGCGTGTGCCATTCAAACATAATACTACTTCATATGATAGTAGTAGTAGATTTTGTTAAGGTCTAATTGTCATGGAGTGACTTTTAATTTTTCTGAGGATAAACGTGTCTGTTAACAAAAAATGCCACTGAATACTTTTCTCCCAAATCAGGAAAAACTCTCTTACTCATAATCCCATACCACACGTTTAATATCTGAAATTAAAATATACTTACTCCTTTTGAGCACTTAAAGTGAAAAATTATTGTTGGGGGGGGGGCCTTGTTGAGCCCTATTGCTCTCTATTCTAGTCGAAGAGAAAAGTTTCTACTTAGTGAAATTAAGTCATTCTTCTCATAACAAACATATTTGTAAAAAAATGGAGTGCACGATAGAATTACCTCCACATGGTGCACCATGGACAGCGTATATTCTTACGGAAAAATGTCTATTACTCGACATTTGACTTCAATTTATTATTGACTCACTTGCAAGAAGGGGACAACGATTTTGCAATACATGGACCGGCCCATGTCTTTCCACACAATGAAGGCCTTAATTAGGAGAGAATTCAAGACCTCAATGTGCAACGAACTCAAAGCTCGAACAAAGGAGAAACAGTGGACAGTGGCACTCTCCGACATAGCTGACTGGCCAAGAATCGAAGCCGTTGCTGAGTTTAGACTACGTACCGGACACGATTGCTTGGCAAAACGCCATCACAGATTGGGTGTATACACTTAACCTACATGCCCTCTATGTAACCTACATGAGGAAATGGAGAAGACCCACCTGATTCGATGTCCAGCCCTAAAGACAACGACGGAAAGCCAAAGATATTGGGAAGCAAGAAGACAGCTAATGAACTGCTATTAATTAACTGATATATATGTACCCCCATCCTTGGGGGAAGCTGAAGTCAAAGTTTAAGGGCTAACGATAAATATCATAAATCCTGCCATTTGAAAAAAATTGTTAAATATAAGCAGATATACGTAGGAGAAATCTGCCACGGAACTCTATGGTTGATTAAAATGATTGCAAAGGATAGCAAATGTAACATATTCGAGCGGATTTCGAAACATAGAGAAACATCAAAATTCAGTTTCGATTGAGACTATTAGAACTGGGAGTTCTATCTTTCCAACAGTAAGTTCACCACAGAATGGTGCGTTAATATGCAACATGA